CTAGCTTCAATTGACTCATGATCTCCACCATTGAGATTACTATAACATCAAAAAAACCTTTCTGATAGTTGTATAAATTAGTTGCTTAGATCTTCTGGTGAGACTATAATTTGTAGACGACCTTGGAGTGACGTTAAAGAGGCACTTAGAATGTCCACTTACTTACTAGGGTTAAAGGAGAGTTCTAATCCAATATGAAGAATAAGAATTGCAATTTACAATTGATAGTTAAGGATATGAAATGGATTTGGAGTTTTCATCACAAACTGTTATCAGCTTAAATGTCAAGACACTATTTAGCCAAATGGATAAAGATTCACTTGATATTGTTTGTTTGAATCTCCCAATTGATGTTTAGCACTGGAATTGATCAGTCTCTTACTGACATATGTGCATACTGTGCACATGCATGTGGCTATCAGGACTCAATAGCTAAGTGGATAACACGATTGAGCTTGGAGCGAACGGCAGTGGGCTCGAGTCTCGGAGTGAACACCAACCCCGGTATTCAGGTATGACCAGCTGACGAGTCTCAAATAGAACAAAACGTGTGACTTGGATCTCAATGCTATTCACTATCCATCATTGAATAAGATAGATATGGGATTTCATGCCGAAATCCAAATCCTGTTACCGTAAATCCGAATAGTTTGTCCATAAACTATAGTCTCGCCAATCTTTTTCTTGTTGTTTAGTATCATCTCCTAACACAATTTTAGATAAACCGTGTGTGACTGGTACATTCCATATACTACTACTATTACTACTACCTACAATCATCTAATATCAAACTAAAATGCTCTATATTATCCATCGTCTTATATTTGAACGAGATATATAGGATCTATGATTGTATACATGTTGACAACTCCACTTGTCACTCGTCTTAAGCTATTCCTGATCCCAAGCTCACACAAAACAAAATGGAGGATGGCTTAGATATAGGGTCATTAATTCTCAACCCATAGAAAAGAAGTTTGCCAAAAAAGGAAGAAACGTTAACCCTACATGTGAACAAAACGAATCAAAATGACAGCTGTTATGATAATTTATAGATTATCTTTATTATTGGTTTTTTGGAAAATTTTAAAACTAGAAAACAGACATTAATTCGAATGAAAGTTCTCAATAGAACAGTAACAAAATAGAAGGGTGGAAATGGTATGATTTTCCAAACTTGTGATCACCATGTGGAAAGAGTAAGATTGAGGTTGTTTTTGTGGAGATTATAGTAATATCGGCTCATTCGGAGACCGCAGGTCATGAGATCAATTCCTGTGTGCGTGAAAGATGTAGAAACTGGGTGTGAATTCTGCATGCAATATCGCGAATATGCACTGAGGAGGAGTACCCGTACTAGAACGAAACGGTCATCCAATGATTTCAAGTTTTCATAGTTGGTCTTACTTTAATCGATTCATTAATTCAACTATTAAATTAACTACAATCTCCACAAAACACCGTTTCAGATAATAATTATTGTGTGCTAACTAGTGGCTGGATTCAAGATAAATATCCTGGAGTTCTAGTGAGAAACCGTGACAAGTGGAGTTCAACCGTGTCTCTTGTGAGATAGTAACTCATTAAAGACAATGGTGGACGGTGGCACAATTTCGTGGACCGTGATAGACCTGCTGTAGGACTGAGATGTAATCACAATTGATTGACCACTTGGTGGTGACTAATGTCATGTGTGTCAAGTCCTTCTTAATGCAGATCGAATGCTATCGACCATGATGCAATGTGGCCACTAGTGTAGCTGGCCCAACATTACGTGCACTATTGTGATATTAGATGGTGGTTGGAGGCAGTCGATAGGAAACAGCTTGTTCGCGGCCCGGATAGCTCAGTGGTAACGTCTCTGACTGTGAAGCTGGGTGACACGGGATCGAATACATCAAGGTCCACAAGTTCCCTCAAGATTATAGGTACGCCTTTCTGACGGGTGCCAAGTAGCACGAAACCTGGGTCCAGGGTTTCCTGTCGACTATCTCCAACCACAATCTAAGACTTTCAACCTATTAGTTTATTACTAATACAATAGATAAATTGATTCATACATAGATTGATCAATACTTTGTACGCTTTTCTACCTGGAGAATGTGTATCACGCAATAATTTAATCACTTATTTGATAAACATGAATAATGATTCTATTAAAAGAAGACCAAGAAGAAGGAGATGGGGAAGATGGAGAAGAAGAAGAAGAGGAAAAGAGGTCATAACAATATTACAGATAACCGGAAATTGTTTACCTAATGAGAAATAAACATTTGTATCAAGATGAATGAAAGTATTACGAAACTAATTAACACTATCCTGTGTCTATAATGAAATAGATGCAAATGAAAAGAAGTTTACATATTTGCCATTGTTGTTGTTTTCTCATAGTTTCGAATTGGGTCAAAGATAGGATAACAATGTGCACTTATGATCTTGTTGGAAGTCGGACCTAAGATATTTAGTTCACATTATTGAGTGCTTTGCTTGTTTGTTCGCTTGTTTTCGAACTCATCTGGTTGATTTCTAGTGATTCACGATTTTAGCTTTTGTTAATTAACAACTACGATGTATTGGATTCACTAGGTATTTGAAATATTCCCATATTGTAAATTGAGAACAACATATAAAGCGAACAAAGTTGTTTTTGATTAGATCCTCATCAGGCTTTAATCCAATATACAGTAATGTCACAGGTTTAAATCATGAGTCAGTTGAAGCTAGACCACCATTGAAAATCTGGAAGCACTGGACGGCCGTTTCGTCCTGGTATGGGATTCCTCAGCAGTGCGCATCCACGATCCCGCACCACGCGCGGCTCGAACGCAGGACCTACTGCCTTCGCGCGCGAGCAATTAACCATTTCAAAAGTAGGACAACATGGATGGAAGTGGTTTAATTTGTTGATGTTTAGAAATTCTGTGATTTCCAATTGACATTGATCAATCAGTGGTTGACCTGACTTGATTTATGCCTACTACTATGTGTATAGTGGATGCAGTATCAACAAGTTATATTCCACTGATCCTGTATATCTGTTTGTGTGTGATTGATTGATTGATTGACTGAGAGACTGACTGACTGACTGACTGACTGACTGACTGACTCATACACTCGACAGTGTTCTCACATTTTCTTCTCCTCTTCTCTCCTCCACATTCTCATGTCGATCGTTAGCGTCGTTAGAGTCGTACTCACCACGCACACGTTTCTCCACTCTCCCACCTTCTTAACATCAATGCATTGGGAAACTAGACGACCAGCGATTCACAGAATTTACAAATTGTGTATGTGTGTGTGCATTTCAAGACTTTGGGTGTATTCAGTGATTAATTCGGGAAACAAGCCAACCTCAATAAAGATCGTGAATGATTAATGGTGTTGTGTGTGCGTATGATGGAGTTAGTGAGTGATTGGTTGAGTTGGTTGGTGGTTGAGTTGTATGTGTTGCGAATTGTAGTGATGAAGAATGTGTTGTTGGATATGGATGTAGAGTGAATGTGTGGAATTTGTGTCTGGTTATTGATCAGTGATAGTTGAGTGATTGTGATTGAAGTGAATTGAGTGAGTGAGTGAGTGAGTGAGTAAGTTAGCTGTGAGGTTAGGTGGGGTGATGTGAGGTGAGTGATACACATGAGATGTATGTAATTGGGAAAGAGGCCATCCGAAAGTAGCGGATGTTTCATGCCTCAGGAGAGTGGGCATCAGATGCCCTGTCCGACCTTGTGCAGGGGACTGCCAACCATCTCTCCTTTTCTGATGCACGACTTGTAGTCGACAACACTAACACACCTCACAACAACACGCTTCACACTCACATCTGCAACAGCTTTGCACATCTTAACGCAATCTTCTTCATACATCAACAAACACACCACACACTCTTCTACACATAATCTAAACTACGCTCCACACTCCACAATCTCATCACTCAACAACACTACTGCATAAACTGAACAATTCACCATCACCTCATCAGTAGTATATTCAGTTTACACAACGAATTCCCGATCATGCACTCCACTAAACAACAAACCACTGTCGAGCATTTCAGTAGCACAGTGAAGTCAACTAAATATCGTTGGTTTATTTTGTATCGCATTGCATTGCATTACATCGCATTGCATTCCATTGCGTTACGTTGCGTTGCGTTGCGTTGAGTTCCATTGCATCACATCCAATCGGGTTGTGTTCCATGCTGCTGCACCATCTCCTGGTCTCATAATACACTCACACACGTGATAGTCACAACTTGACAACTTCACGTCAGCAGCACATCTAAACACTTTTCACTAGTTGCATTACAGAGCAAAAACACCAGATATTTGTTCAGGCGAATATAACTCGGTTGACCGCGAATTTCATAAGTAGGACAACATGGATGGGAGTGGTTTAATTTGTTGATGTTTAGAAATTCTGTGATTTCCGATTGACATTGATCAATCAGTGGTTGACCTGACTTGATTTATGCCTACTACTATGTGTATAGTGGATGCATTACCTACAAGTGTTCGATGACAATGACGTAGATTAAATTCTTTTCATATTTTTCTTTCAAGGAACTAGTGTTTTCTTCCTGTATTATATCCTTATATGCAATCTTTTTTTTACTTTAATACCATTGACTTAACTACTTCTATGAATTCAGTTTTCATCTTGCTATGCTAATGAGTTATGGCATCTTGGACCGATGCACATATGTGCCTGGTACTGCGTTGTAACTAACGAACTGACTAACTATACGATGATCATTTTCATTTCAGGTCAAGACAATGAATGATAAAAGTGATGTTATTTATTTAAAATGCGATAATAATAATCGTAATCATAAATATCATACAACACAAATGTACAAATTTATATATCATTATATATAAGTAGTTTATAAGTAGTATAAATTCATAGGAATGATAATACTGTTTATATTGTTTTATCTCTTTATTCGTATCTTTCTTTCTTACTTTCTTTTTTATTTATTTTAATAAAGGAATAAAACAAAATTAATGAACAAGTAAGTTGTTATTTTTAGATAATTTTAAAAAATCTTTTGTTACTACTGATAAAGAATCTGTAAGTAATACTGGTGATTCATGAGGAGATTGTGTTGAACTATTATTCATTGTCATCCATGTTGAAGTTGAGGATGATGATGACGTTGATGATGACGTTGATGATGATGATGATGGATAAGAAAGCAAAGAATGATTGACTAAACTAAAAATGAATTTATAACAACCAAATTGTATAATTGAGCCATGTCTCAAAATAGCCGACCCTTCCCAACCAGTGATTAAATTGAATGAATCTGTTTTATCATTTTGAGCAAAATGTAAACTTGTACAATCACATATAGATGTCATATGTGATAAATCCTGATAAAGTATATGAAAGAAAAAGAAAAAAAGAGAATAGGTATAAATAAGGATAATAACAATGACTGAGAATGAGAAGAGTCAGTTCTCCTTCTTGAAATGAGCTGACAGGGAAATCCTACTTTTACTAGATTGTCGTCAATGGGGTTGTTGTTTATGAAATTTGGAGAAGGATGAAAGGCGAGTGTTGGACGCTTCAAATGGGTTGGTGAATATGAAGAATCCACCTAGGACAGTTGAAGAAACCTTCTTTTCAAACTGATGGTGTACATGGGCTCCATTATCCTGAGGGAACAAAAGGTGTATGAACTGATTGTTGGTGACTAGCTACCACGGAACTGCATCGCCTGACGTTGCTCCACTACCTTGTGAACTAGACCTGTAGGCCAAAGGCTCGAGGTGTGGCCTCCTAAGAAATGCACCTACGTCGGTTTGGTCACCTGAGCAGCACTCTCAGCCCTCACATAAATTGAATGATTTATGTGGAGCACATCTTTTTAGTAACTACGTGTACCATTGTTTATGTGTTTAAATAAAGTAAAGAATAATAATAAACGAGTGAGTTTGCCTTGTAACTAACTGAGACCTCAGTAGTAACGAGTCCCAATGATGATATTTTCTGTTGAATAATATCCATTTAAATGCATAGAGAAGTATGCAAGTTTTTCAAAGTGTAAATATGACTTGCTGCTGAATGTTAAATTTAGGGTTCGAGGATTTCTTGTGAATTTACTGGAAAACATTTAATTAGACTTTTTTAGTTTGCATTAAGGAATATAAATATAATTTAAACACATAAACATATGTAGGAGGCACCAAATAGGTATGCACCACACTTCACTATTCGATTTGTGTGAGAGATAATAACCGGATGCTACAACGGAAGCAAGTGGTTCTCGTAGAGGGATACACACGGAGCCTTTGACCAGTGGTCTAATCCACAAGACAGTGGAGCAATGTTAAGAGATGTAGTCATATGGTAACCAGTAACCAACAATAGATTCATACGACATTTGTTCCCTCGTGACCCTGGAGCCTATGTACACCATTGGTTTGGAATTACACTTTTTCAACTCCCCTACGTGGACGCTCCATATCCACCGACTAGCTAAAGCGCCGAACATTCGCTTCTCATCCTCGTAATCTAACAAAAAACACCCTCACCACGAAAAGGCAGTTAGTAGTACTCCCCTGTCAGTGATTATATACGCGTGGCCATTTGGAAGCGTTTCGATATTAAGAGTGGAATCTCTTCACCCTCGACCACACCAGGACATTCGAGGGCAATATTTCACAAAGACGATTTTTTACCACTATTATACAATATGCTATTTCGCACCAAGTCAACTAACTTAAAGTTGGAAAAACAATATAAAATAATAAGCATTGAATACAAATATGTTGTTCTCATTCGAACTGTGTCGACATTAAGGTATGTGCATGTACAATCACCTCTATACCATGAGATCGCAACTAGGTTACTCATGTCTAACAGTGAACATTAGAAGTGAAATCGACAAATTTACTACTAAGAAGTTACATTTCATAGTTTATATCACGAAATGAGTTTCATTATACAAGTTGTTAAATTTTTTGCCTACTCTCCCTCTTTCTCTTTTTTTTGATGGTGGTCGACAGGAGTATGAAGAGCTCGACAATTCAGGAAAAGCACTTTGTACATGACCTACAACTTCAGTCCCATTCACATGAACAAATGTAGATCAAGACAAACTGTGTAGCAGCAGCCACTGCAGCAGTAGGCCGCAACATACACAACGGAAAAAAGCAAGATCCTCAAATACAACACGAAGAACACCAGCTCAATCACAATTGATCGAGAAGCTCTGAAATAGGTGGAACCTTTCACGTATATGGGAAGCATCATCGATGAACAAGGAGGATCGGATGCAGATATAAGGGCGAGGACTGGCAAAGCAAGGACAGCATGCCTACAGTTGAAGAACATATGCAACAACCAACATCAAAGTCAGAATATACTATAACAATTTCGAAACAGTTCTACTGTACGGAGCTAAAACTTCGAGAACTACTACAACTATCATCAAGAAGGTATAAGTATTTATAAATAGCTGTCTGAGCAAGATACTCAACACAACAGCCTACTGTAGGAGAGAACAAACCAGGTCCCATCTGAAAAGGAAATTAGAAAAAAATTCTGGAGTTAAATAGGAGATATATCGCGGAAATCACCAAACTGCATCACGAGGTTAGCACTAACTTGGAATTAAATGGTGGCTGGAGGTAGTCGACAGGAAACCCTGGACCCGGGTTCGATTTGCACTAATAAGGACTAGACACGAATGACATTGATCGCCACCCAGTGATCAATCAATCGTGACTAACTTGGAATACTCAAGGCGAACGGAAAAGAGAAAGGCCAAAGAACACACTGAGTCGGGAATCGGAGGCAAACATGAAAAAAGGATGAATAGCAACTGGGGAAAAAGTGGAAAGGATTGCCAAGAAGAGATATGAATGGAGAATTGTGGTGGGCAGCCTATACTACTCGACGAGAGGTAACAGGAGTAAGTAAATAAGTAGATTCCCTCTTTGTTTGTTGATAAACCATTATCGAGATTTGACACAGGTATCAGCTGTAATTTGTACTATCATGTGTCACAACTAATCTTTATTTTATTATTGCAGTAAGCCTTTTTAATTTCAGACATACAGACGCGCTAAGAGCCACAGATACCTCATAAGTTGAGGTTTATTAGTAATTTGTCTATTTCTCAATAAAGAAATGTTATATTGTTATATTGTGAACTTTGGTTTCGCATGTATCTTAGTTGTATGATCAAACACATCGGTATTCAAAAAAATACGAATTAATGGATAGTTGTTTCTTTCTAGTAAGAGATTACACTCATAACTCCACTAGGAATAACAACCGGGAGCTTCAATTCTATTGACTAATATTTGATCATTAGAACAATTGGTTGTGGGTCCATTAAAATTATGTTCCGTTCAGGATAGACAGCAACAATCATCTACTGTCATTCAATGAATACTTGTAAATAATTCTTTTTCATTGACGTAATAAAAATAGATTTCAACTAAGTATATTTCACTTACTTCATGTCGTTTACTTAACATTTTCATTAGACGTTTAGGCGGTGAAGCACACAATTCCGAAATAACCGATGATGTTTCATAATTTGATGATAATTCTTTAGGAGCAGTTCTTATTAGATTACGAACTCGATGAACAAGATCGAAAGACTAAAAATGTGTTTGCGCATGAAGAGAAAGAGAGAGAGAGAGAGTAAAATGAAGAGTAGTAATTGTACATTGAAGAGATCTAGAAAATTATGAAGAAAGTAGAAAAAATTACATTAATGGATTAACCAATAGTACCAACGTGTCCCATTCCCAGTGGTAGCCAAACCAACATATGGAATCAGTCCACGGATCTATTTACTATTAGACTGGGCTATGTTGATAGGTAGGTGCAAACTACCTGATTGAGGTTCACATAATACCTGAGATCGGTAGCTAGAGATGTTTGGTGATATGGCTAAACATTTTTTCTGATGGTCAAAATGTATCCGTTGTTTGACTTTGCTTATATCCTGAAAAGTGAAATCACTCTCGAATTGTATTCTCTATGTCTGCTTTTTATTGCCACTGATATTACTACTACCACGACTACTACTCCGATCTCCCGCTTGGAAATTTCACTTAGCTGTTTTGATTCTTTGTTAAAAATTGTTCTGATGCATACATGTACCAGGTTTGACATCATCTGGACGGCTGTTTCGTTCTACGGTGGGACTCTTCAGCAGTTCGCATCCATGACCAGTGCTTCTTGGTTTTCTATGGTGGTGGTCCAACGTCAAATAACTCATGATCTCAACTATTAAAATTATAAGATTTCTATTTAACTTATTAATTGTTATTGCTTTATTGTACCAGAATTATTGTTAATTAATTATGCACTTACTACTGGACTGTTTTGTATTACTAATGGCCGAACCTAAGTTCGAATCCCACGAGGGAATTATGGATGCGCACTGCTGAGGAATCCCACAATAGGACAAAACGGCGTTTCAGTCCTTGCAGGTTTTGCATGATGATCTAACTCTGTTTAACCAAATTGAATGAATGAATTCGGCGCCGAGAATTCAAGGGCTGATTGGTTCATTGATAAATTATAGTTTCATCATTATTATCACAACAGTTCGCTAAATCTCATGGATTAGTTGAAGTTAGACGTTAACACCGTTGGATGCCGATCGTCTCAATGGTCTGGTAGTTAAGTGCTCACGCACGAGATTGGTAGATCCTGAGTTCGAACCTTGCGAGGCAAGATCGTGGATGAGCACTGTTGAAGAGTTTCACAATAGGACAAAATGGCCATTTAGTGATTTCAAGTCTTCCATGGTGATCTAGCCTTCAAATGACTTTTATGATCTCAACCATTGAAAGTTCTATTGAAATAAAACAAAACATTAAAATTACTTCTGGAATATAAATTAATTTTCTATCTATATCATTCCCATATATAATACCATCTACACGGGTACCATATTCACTATAATTAATTAATTCATAATGTTGTGTCCAATCATCATAGAAGATTGTAGCATGGTGTGATGATATAAATAAACATTTTTGATTATTTAATGAAGACAAATTATAATTAGCTAAACATAAATGACAATCTGGTGCTATAAAGAAAATGAAGTAAAAGAAATGAAATATATGATGTAATATATTAGTGAATAGTTTCTAATCAGTTACCAAGTATAAAGCCTCTCTGAATGCCCTGGTATGGACGAAGGTTAGGAAAGTCAGTTATCCTTCTCGAAATGTTATCACATGATTATGTGTATACAACTACTGTAAGCGAAGTTCTACTCACTACCCTCTCATGACATTACTGTTGTTTAGAAATTGAGAGGACAGAAAGAGAATATCCGGTAACTGAACTGAATTGATGGATATGGAAAATTCACCTAGGGGAGTTGGAAAACAGTGATTCCAAACCAATGATGCACATTGGTTCTAGGAACGAATGGCGTATGAACTGATTATTGATCACCGGCTACCGTATGACTGCATCTCCTGACGTTGCTCCACTACCTTGTGGATTAGACCTGTAAATCGAAAGCTCTGTGCGTGACCCCCTAAGAAAATTGCCTGCCTCGGTTTGTGCTACCGGATAAAGAATACTGATGAAAAGCCAATACTTCTCCACAAGAAGTAACAGGTGTAAATCAGCTACTTTCGAGTATATATTTCTCTCTGTTTATATAAAACGCCATATCTATGACCACATTGATTTATTATTATTATTATCCAATCAAATTGTTTTATCCAAATTAACAACTAAAAACTAAAATATGAAAATCAACATTTTAACCAATCAGAAGTTGATAAATTAAGAAAGAACATTTAAAATATACCTAGAAACAACAGTTAAATGGATAGATTCGTTTAAGCATGTATCTATGCATGTATGTATATATGTCTGTATATTTGTATGTATTTGTGTAAGTATGTGTGTGTATCTATGTAGGTATGTGATGAATACATAACATTGTCCTGTTTACTGATATTTCAACTCACTATTCCCATCATATTCATTTAACTCTTATTTATTCATTCATTAAATATCCTGATTGTTACTATGGTACATGAATCAATTCTATTGTGTTATAGCTACAATCATTATCATTATCCCATAATGATTACGTAACTCTTAATTGATGATACATATGCCTGTACAACAAACAACAAAAACAGACACACACGCAAATACATAACAAACATATTTACAACGTGTTTCAATGTTGACTACATACTTTTTCAATAACGAATTCATATATTTTCATGGAAAATATAAAAGTTTCTATTATTCACATGATTCAACACAGAAGATCTTTATCTGGAACGTATAATCATTGAATTATTGAATAAGGAAGTAATTTATATACACCGTTAGATGTCGACCAGCTCAGTGGTCTATAGGTTATAAGCATTCGAGTGTGGGATCAATATCACTGGATTCACTGCTTCTATGAATTCAATGTTCATCTTGATATACTAATGATGTATCGATGCATATATATACTTGGTCATACGCTGTATCTGACTAACTGATTGAACTGAACTGATTAATTCATCACCGTAATTGATATTTTGAAAAATTGAGAGTTTTCTACTAGTCACTAATCCTCGTATACAGTGATCGAATTAAATCACTTTGGTGAATAACTGCATTGAAAATTGGTCAAATATGAGAATGGATTTCGATTACGTATATTTTGTACACTCATTGATCTGGATAGACAAATCAGAGGAACGAAACGAAACAATGTGTAAGTGATATGACGTGTAAGCCACATCAATCTAATCAAGCATTAATTGATATTCATAGTCAAATCAATAATAAGTTAAAGAAATGTGATGAATTGGCATAAGGAGATGCAGTCACACACCCTCACATGAATACGGTGACGGTTGATAAACGAATGCTGAACAGGGTCAAAACGTGACTCGACAATCATGAATAAATTGCCTTACATGGAACCTATAATAAACCATATGGGTTTGACCTAGCAACCAACACTATACTTTCAATTCTAGTAGTAAGACAAAACCGTAGTCTAATGGTTTTTGATTTTTAATGATCAACTATTTGAAATGAGTCCAGGATGTAAACTGTAATTAATATTAAAAAAGAAGAATGTATTTGTAAAGTACCAATAACTCAGCAATGCGTCATCATGATCTCGTACGAGTGATTCAAACCTAGGAACTCTCTGTCTCGTGCAAGAATGCTTAACCTACAGACCGCTTAATCTATCAGCACTCAGTAGTGTGTATGTACAACTTCAAGCAACCCACGAAATAACTCCACCGTCCAATGATGTCAGGTTTTCCATGATCGACTAGCTTTAATTAACTCATGAATTCAACTATTAAATTACTCAAATTTTCACAAATCCTTCCTCTTTCTGAATAGTTTCTAAAAGCGGATATATATCTTTCTCTAATGTAAACAAAGAAGTTTTGTTTCTTCAACTGAATCAACTTGAAAGTATATACTGATCACAGCAATATTTCACTTCAATACTAGAACTGATCATCACGTTAGTTTTCTATCACTTTCACTCACATAGGGAAGTCTATTCATTATTAATCATAATAATATATTGATAGATATCACAATTGAATTGTGTTCGCTGGATAGCGCTTTTTCCTAAGCGAGTACGTGGGTACTTGTAACTCGAACCCAGGACCTACCAGTTTCGCACCAGTCGCTTAACCAACTAGACCAATGAGCCGGCACCCAACGGTGTTAATGTCTAACTTCAACCAATCCACGAAGTTGCACCACCGTACACTATTGTCTTCAGTGAGTTGGTATCTCACAACAGACCTGGTTGAATTCCACTGGTCATGGCTTCTCACTAAAAATAAAAAAAGTGAAAATCATTTAAGAAAGTATCTAATAAAGAGAAACAAGAAGGTATTGTTTATTTGAATGTTTCTATGGATGAGAAATTTAGTAGTTGGGTAGATGTATGGTATTGGTTAGAGTCGTGAAGTGATAGATGAACACTGTCATGTAGATCTATCTAGTTTATGAGTCTTAAATAGAACGAAACCTGTGTCATGCATTTCATTACTAGTCACTTACTATCTTTGTTCAGAATGCTTGTGAATTGAGGTGATGTCGAGGTAATCCGTATAGGATGCACATATGTTAATAAGAGATTGATAAATTGCAGCCCTTAACAACAATGAGAAGATTGAAGTAAAATAATACCAAGTTAATTTAAACTTACTCTCATTGCACAACCATGTGGCTTTCAGGACTCAGTAGCTAAGTGGATAACGCACTTATCTATTCAAAAATGAAGAATGTTTAAGCGAACAACTGCTTTCAATAATTTCATCATCAGGCTCTATACAGTTATAAGTCCATTATTATAATATTTTATAAAAGCCAAAGTTAAGGCATGACATTAATGAATTTCACAATGTTATGGGTTAAAAAATGGTGAACGTTTCCATCTGTTACGATATATTTGGATGCGCATTGCTGAGGAGTCCCACAATAGGACGAAACGGCCGTCCAGTGCTTCCAGGTTTTCCATGGTGGTCTAGCTTTAACTGGCTCATGATCTTAACTATTGAAATTACTATATTCTCCACAAAACCCCTTCTGATATATCTATATACTTGAAAATTGTATTATTTGCAAATTAGAAAAGTCATTCATTAAAGGTCAAGATGATTTGGGAGTAAAATGTTCAGTCACAATGAGTGAAGAATAGTATTATAGCAAAGTTGAAAATGCAAAAAAATGTTTTGTGTGAATAAAATGCGTTCAAACTATCTGGAACGCATATCCCTCGACTATACGACCTACCTAAGATTCACAAACTTGATGTTCCTTTACGCCCGATACTGGATATGGTAAATTCTCCATACCATTCAACAGCAAAATGGTTAGTTAAGTTATTAGAACCATTGCATCAAGAACTTGTTAAGCATAGTGTTAAAGATGTCTTTGAATTTGTTGATACGATTAAAAAAATCAATATAAATGGCAAAACCATGCTGTCACTAGACGTAACATCTTTGTAAGTTTTGATCGACTTACATGTACACAAATAAAACGACTACGGAGGATGAAGGAAAGAATGTAATGCTTCCTTCATCCACAGGTTTAAAAAATAGCTGTGTTTCTAGTTACACCGAAACTGATGTCCAAAGATGTCTCCAGTCACTGAATTCATCCCAATATTTAGGACCTGATGGTATCCCTAACCTCCTTTCTAAAAAATGTGCTGACGTCCTATGTTATCCGTTCACAACTATCTTTAACGAATCCTTCTCATCTAATCTCATACCGAATATGTGGAGAAAGATGAAGATAATTCCTGTACCCAAAAAAGCATTTGGTGATAAGAATGTAAAATTTACACCCATTGCAATAACTTCACCCTTCCTCAAAACAATGGAAAAATTATTAATACTTCCACTTCAGCCGACGATAGAAGAGCATATTGATACGTATCAGTTTTTCTAAAGACGCAAAGGAAGCACTTTAGATGCTGTTGCTGTTCTGCATCACAACATAGTGTTCAACCAAGAAAGGGGTAAGAAGTATGTTCGATGTGCTTTTATGGAATATACTTCAGCTTTTGTTTCTATACCAAGACGACGTTCACTTAATCTGCGTCAACACTGACAGCTGGATAACGAAATGATTATGTTCCTACCTTTCTGGAAGGGAGCAGTACGCTGTATTTGGAAGAAAGTGTTCAGAGTCTTTACTGTCTCATGAAGGTGTACCATAATGAGCTGTTCTTTCACCTCTTCTTTTCTCTTTTTTCTGCATGATCTGCCATCTTTCACAGAAAACACTTTTGTGAAATATGCGGATGATCTCACTATATGTATACCTATCTCTTCCTCTTTACATCCCATAGAAATGAATGAGTTTTTGTCTCGTATTGATTGTTGGTCTGGTGGTAATGGTCTCATACTTAATCCCTCTAAATGTCAAGCTTTTAACTTTAGCATGAGACATGAACGGAACCTAAACACTATTTTAAGATCCCATAATGCTTTTACCATCGGAGACTCTTTGATAAACTCAGTGTCGAAGGTCAATTATATCGGTGTCACCTTTTCCCCTGATCTGTCTTGGTCTTCTCATAATTTATTGTTATTGAAGAAGGTTTTCCGTCTGACTTACTACATAAATAGATTGCAAGCTCGTGGGATTACTCGTAATTTACTCTTACAATTTGTCAATTCTTGCATATTACCTATTATTCTTTACTGTTTCCATTATTCTTTCTCGGGCTTTTGAGAAAAGACTTTGTTGTATTGCGAAGAGTGCTAAAGGCATTTATCAATGTGTGTGGTGAGTATTTCTAGGTCATAATTAATATGGTTGCGGATAGACATCTTCTGGTTAAACGAGACGTAATTACACTAAAGTTCATGCACGCAAGCAAAAGTATAAAAGTTCTATAATACATTACCTAGTAAATACACACTGTGAAGAACAGGTTGTTAGAGTTTACCTTGTCAATAATCGGCCTTCCTAACATGTCTCTAATTTGAAAATTTGTACAGTTTTTCAGATTTTTTAAACTATTTTTCAGTAATCTTCTCTTTGTTCCTACTTCTTTGTGCAAGAAACTTGTTGAAATACTCTGTGCTGAGAATTCCTATTTTGTATGAAAATATAATAAAGAATAAAACTATTGATATAACGCTCGGATCCACTTGGTCTACATGTTTGGGATTTTAATTTATTTTAGACGGATATCTACGGTTGATTCCCTCCCAGTGTCTATTCTACAGGACCTCAACACAATTCAGATCAATAATACGTGATTAGCCTGATTAGAACATAAATATATTTTTACATTGAAAGGTCGACACAATCCAACATTAACGAACAATCAATAATAAGTGATAATAAGGATAGTGGAACAAAACACTCATCTTACATCTGACAAACTAACTACATGTGTGACTAAGCAAACATCCAATTCTTATCATACTGATCTGCACATCAAAAGCACTGTGAAGCTCTCATACTTTTGCTTGCATACATGGATTCTAATGTAATGACATCCCGTTCCACCTGAACATATACAAGGGGAAAGATATGAATGAAGGGGATTGTTAGTATCCGATATGGTAACATCTGCCAAACCTTAGGAAGACATTGGGTGTCTATCTACAATCATTATAATATTGATCTCAAAAGAATAACCAAATATCTTGCTAACTGCCTTCAACGCTCCTCGCAAAACAGCCAGAATATTGATAATGCAGAACCGTAAAGAATAATAGATCA